AAAAAAAACGTAAGGGGTAACACTGTCGTTTTTTTTTTCGGGTCGAAATTTTGAGTTTCCATATCTCAGCTCTGGAAGGGTCTAGAGCCTCCATTTTTGCGCTCAGGTCAAAGTCTCGCGGCCCTCTATCATAATCCAGAGTTTTGAGAAGATTGGAGAAACTTGATTTTTCGCCCGAAAACTGAAAAAAACGTAAAGGGGTAACACTGTCGTTTTTTTTTTCGGGTCGAAATTTTGAAGTTTCCATATCTCAGCTCTGGAGGGTCTAGAGCCTCCATTTTTGCGCTCAGGTCAAAGTCTCGCGGCCCTCTATCATAATCCAGAGTTTTGAGAAGATTGGAGAAACTTAATTTTTTGCCCAAAAACGAAAAAAAACGAAAGGGGTAACACTGTCGTTTTTTTTTCGGGTCGAAATTTTGAATTTTGATATCTCAGCTCTGGAAGGGTCTAGAGCCTCCATTTTTTGCGCTCAGGTCAAAGTCTCGCGGCCCTCTATCATAATCCAGAGTTTTGAGAAGATTGGAGAAACTTGATTTTTCGCCCGAAAACTGAAAAAAACGTAAGGGGTAACACTGTCGTTTTTTTTCGGGTCGAAATTTTGAGTTTCCATATCTCAGCTCTGGAAGGGTCTAGAGCCTCCATTTTTGCGCTCAGGTCAAAGTCTCGCGGCCCTCTATCATAATCCAGAGTTTTGAGAAGATTGGAGAAACTTGATTTTTCGCCCGAAAACGGAAAAAAACGTAAGGGGTAACACTGTCGTTTTTTTTCGGGTCGAAATTTTGAGTTTCCATATCTCAGCTCTGGAAGGGTCTAGAGCCTCCATTTTTGCGCTCAGGTCAAAGTCTCGCGGCCCTCTATCATAATCCAGAGTTTTGAGAAGATTGGAGAAACTTAATTTTTTCGCCCAAAAACGAAAAAAAACGTAAGGGGTAACACTGTCGCTTTTTTTTCGGGTCGAAATTTTGAGTTTCCATATCTCAGCTCTGGAAGGGTCTAGAGCCTCCATTTTTGCGCTCAGGTCAAAGTCTCGCGGCCCTCTATCATAATCCAGAGTTTTGAGAAGATTGGAGAAACTTGATTTTTCGCCCGAAAACGGAAAAAAACGTAAGGGGTAACACTGTCGTTTTTTTTTTGGGTCGAAATTTTGAGTTTCCATATCTCAGCTCTGGAAGGGTCTAGAGCCTCCATTTTTGCGCTCAGGTCAAAGTCTCTCGGCCCTCTATCATACTCCGGAGTTTTGAGAAGATTGGAGAAACTTGATTTTTCGCCCGAAAACGGAAAAAAACGAAAGGGGTAACACTGTCTTTTTTTTTTCGGGTCGAAATTTTGAATTTCGATATCTCAGCTCTGGAAGGGTCTAGAGCCTCCATTTTTGCACTCAGGTCAAAGTCTCGTGGCCCTCTATCATAATCCAGAGTTTTGAGAAGATTGCAGAAACTTAATTTTTCGCCCAAAAACGAAAAAAAACGAAAGGGGTTTTCAAATTTTGAAAACTTAACAGAAACTTATTTTTTCTCCCGAAAACGGAAAAAAACGAAAGGGGTAACACTGTCGTTTTTTTTTCGGGTCGAAATTTTGAATTTCGATATCTCAGCTCTGGAAGGCTCTAGATCCTCCATTTTTGCACTCAGGTCAAAGTCTCACAGCCCTCTATCATAATCCAGAGTTTTGAGAAGATTGGAGAAACTTAATTTTTCGCCGAAAACAGAAAAAAACGTAAACGGTAACACTGTCGTTTTTTTTTGGGTCGAAATTTTGAATTTCGATATCTCAGCTCTGGAAGGGTCTAGAGCCTCCATTTTTGCACTCAGGTCAAAGTCCGTGGCCTCTATCATAATCCAGAGTTTTGAGAAGATTGGAGAAACTTAATTTTTCGCCAAAACGAAAAAAAACGAAAGGGGTAACACTGTCGTTTTTTTTTTCGGGTCGAAATTTTGAATTTTGATATCTCAGCTCTGGAAGGGTCTAGAGCCTCCATTTTTGCACTCAGGTCAAAGTCTCGTGGCCATCTATCAGAATCCAGAGTTTTGAGAAGATTGGAGAAACTTAATTTTTCGCCGAAAACGGAAAAAAACGTAAGGGGTAACACTGTCGTTTTTTTGGGGGGGTCGAAATTTTGAATTTCGATATCTCAGCTCTGGAAGGGTCTAGATCCTCCATTTTTGCACTCAGGTCAAAGTCTCACAGCCCTCGATCAGAATCCAGAGTTTTGAGAAGATTGGAGAAATTTAATTTTTCGCCCAAAAACGAAAGGGGTAACACTGTCGTTTTTTTTTCATGTCGAAATTTTGAATTTTGATATCTCAGCTCTGGAAGGGTCTAGAGCCTCCATTTTTGCACTCAGGTCAAAGTCTCGTGGCCCTCTATCAGAATCCAGAGTTTTGAGAAGATTGGAGAAACTTATTTTTTCGCCCAAAAAAAAACAAAAACGAAAGGGGTAACACTGCGCCCAAAAACGGAAAAAACGAAAGGGGTAACACTGTCGGGTTTTTTTTCGGGTAGAAATTTTGAATTTTGATATCTCAGCTCTGGAAGGGTCTAGAGCCTCCATTTTTGCACTCAGGTCAAAGTCTCGTGGCCCTCTATCATAATCCAGAGTTTTTAGAAGATTGGAGAAACTTAATTTTTCGCCCGAAACGAAAAAAAAAAAAACGAAAGGGGTAACACTGTCGTTTTTTTTTCGGGTCGAAATTTTGAATTTCGATATGTCAGCTCTGGAAGGGTTTAGAGCCTCCATTTTTGCACTCAGGTCTAAGTCCCATGGCCGTCTATAAGAATCCCGAGTTTCAAGAAGATTGGAGAAACTTATTTTTTCGCTCAAAAAAAAAACAAAAAGGGGTAACACTGTCGTTTTTTTTGGGGTCGAAAAAATAAGTTTCTCCAATCTTCTCAAAACTCTGGATTCTGATAGAGGGCCATGGGACTTAGACCTGAGTGCAAAAATGGAGGCTCTAGACCCTTCCAGAGCTGAGATATTGAGATATTTATAATGGTATCTCAATATCTTAGCTCTGGAAGGGACTAGAGCCTCCATTTTTGCACTCAGGTCTAAGTCCCATGGCCCTCTATCAGAATCCAGAGTTTCAAGAAAATTGGAGAAACTTATTTTTTCGCTCTAAAAAAAAACCGAAAGGGGTAACACTGTCGTTTTTTGGGGGGAGTCGAAAAAATAAGTTTCTCCAATCTTCTTGAAACTCTGGATTCTGATAGAGTCCAATAACTGGGTTAGTTGAGATCGCAATTCATTATTTATCCGGCAAATAACGTTTCCATCAGCGTTTATCGCATAAGCCGTATATCGATCAAGATAAAATCCGATGAGACCGAACCTATTTCATTTGAGTCGATATTCATGAAATTGAATCGAATTTTACTTTTATCACTTAATTCGGATAAAAACGTGTCGATGGAAACATGGTTAGAGACTGGTGAGCAAAAGAGTTCATGTCAAGCCCTGAATGCATACTGCATTATGGATGCGGGTCAGTCCTGTGATTTGCAAACCGATTCAAAAGGTTCACTGAAAGAATCAGCTCTCAGGAATCAGATCATGTGTTTCAGAGGGGTGGCGATTTATTCAGTTCAAAATAAGGAGAAACGATACGTTTTTATGAACTGTCGTGAAATAGCTACTTCACAATAACGAAGTAAATCCTCACGTCCACACACTGCAGTTTGTCACATTAATAAACTGAATCTGAACTGAAGCACAATCCATGTAGCCTAATGAAGAAGCGTGTGTTTGATAAAGCTCAGCCTGTTTAGCATTCTCTGCTGATATCCACGATTGTACCGCAGTGAAAAGCAAATATTGGATTAATCTTCATTTCTCCTCGAGCTTGTTAAGTTCACTCTTCCGTACAGGATCGTGCTGCCTGAAACACGAACACATCGGGATCTATGGCTCCTGTTTACACAACGCGAGGGTTTGTACATGTTAAAGTGATCGTCTCTTGTATGATTCATTCAGTTCTGTGCGATTGTGAACGTATAGGCCGTAATGAGAAAGATGTACAACAGAGCGGCTTCTGAGGCGTCGTTCTTCATATCAAAAGCATATTTGTGTTACGTAAATCTCCATTTTGTGTCTGAACACATCTGATGCTCATGCAGACAGCAGTATCTCCAGGCTTGAAGCAATATCACCAGGTATTTCTTTGTGGGGACTCTGGTTTTTATACTGTACAAACTGTATATTCTCTCCCCTTACACTAACCTTACCCATCACACTAAATTTTCTGCATTTTCCAAAAACTCACTCTGAATGATTTATAAGCTTGTTTGTTGTTCCTCATGGGAATCTCAATTTAGGTCCCCACAGTGAGTCCCCATGAGTCTATGCGCAGTCAGGTTCCCACTAGGATAAAAAAACTGCACACACACACACACACACACACACACACACACACTCTTATCAGCATTGGTTCACCTCCATGGCCAGCAGTAGCTGCATTGCCATCAACTGCTCAAAGCCAGTGTATCCTGAAGCAGAACAAGTGAAATTACCCTTAAAACAGACGCCTTTTATCCTCTCAAAAGGCCCATCATAAAGTTAGCGTAAAGGCCATTTTATTATACGCTTTGCATTTTACAACCCTCCTCTATCATTTGACTGGGCGCGTCCGCGATCACTTTCCTTTCAAAGCTGTTGTTTGGTTTGGAGCGTATCATTTCTGACCCCTCTTATTATGGCCTCATCAAAATTGTGCCAATCTATCAAAGAAAAGGTTAAATGATTGACTGGTTGAAGTGATAATTGTACGATTGCCTTCTTCCTCTTGCCAAGAAAGTGGCAGAATATATATCAGCGTGTGTGCGTGTGTTAAAATGTCAGATCGTAATCATCAGCCAAGTGGAATAATGATGAAGTGCTTGTGTCTTAATTGAAATTTCACCTCGTGAGTGGCGTGCCGGCTGTATTTTTAGTCGCCCTGCACTTCAGTTCTGCGTCGGCCCACACACACACACACACACTGCCCTGACAAGAGAGCAGTGTGTGTTTTTCTCTGCCAAATATCTCTATATCCATCCCTAGAGTATGAGAGAGAGAAGAGAATACTGCACACTATTTCAGCATAGTGTGTATGCATGGATTATTTGGATGAACAACTACGTTTGTTACAATGTGCACACAAAATCTGTATCCCAAAATTCAGTGCACCCCACTTGACTCATATTAACAATGTATGTTAATAGAAATGCACATTTCTAAGATAAATACACATAATTTGCTCAATTCCTGTTTTTCTTGATAACCAACACAATATATTTTTCTCTCAACTATAAAACACAACCTCAAAACTACATACCAATTTGTACTGTAATGTCAAAAAGATATTTTGGTGGAGGAAGTACTGAATCTCAGTACTGAAGTAAAAGTACAAATAACCAGATAAATATTTACTTTAGTAAAAGTAGAAGTAACACAATGACAACCATACTTAAGTAAAAAGTAAAAAGTACCTGATTTTAAATGTACTTTAAGTATTAAAAGTAAAAGTACTTGAATAACAATTGATTCTCTTAATGACTAATTTCTAATGATTAATAAAACATTTAATTCTAACTCATTCAACCCAATACTCCTAATGATGTTCAATAATGATGGAAAAAAATTGCTGTCACCATTTCTGAAACAAGCTTGCAAAATTAGGCAATATAAACCATGCTTATCCATATGTTAATAACTATGTTTGGCAGTAGACGCGATTAATTTATGGTGTAATTCTGAACCTCTTTGCTTGCCATAAAAAAATAAATAAAAATGAGGCAAAAAATAAAATACACACGGTGTGTTTCCTATGCACGTAAAAACACATTTTCGCGTATAAATTACATGATAAACACACTGCGTGCGAGACGCATTTAGTTGACGTATCTATGGCAACCAAACGTCACTGGTGAGACAAACGTGCAACGAACGGACGGTCAGATGACGGTTTTGCAGGGGAAAACTGATCAGAAAATGTAACAAAAATGTAACAGAAGTTGTAGAAATGTAGTGGAGTAGAAAGTATAATAATTGCTGCAAAATGTAACGAAGTAAAAGTAAAAAGTATGCACTATTTATTCTACTTAAGTAAAGTAAAGATGCGTGAAAAATGTACTTAAGTAAAGTAACGAAGTATTTGTACTTCGTTACATTCCACCACTGTTTATGGTGTGGGGTTGTTTGGTGGAGGGGGGATTAAGGTGCGGGGTTGTTTGATGGAGGGGGATTATGGTGCGGGGTTGTTTGATGGAGGGGGGATTATGGTGTGGGGTTGTTTGGTGGAGGGGGGATTAAGGTGCGGGGTTGTTTGATGGAGGGGGGATTATGGTGCGGGGTTGTTTTTCAGGGGTTTGGCTTGGCCCGTTAGTTCCAGTGAAAGGAACTCTTAATGCTTCAGCATACCAAGACAATTTGGAGTTTGGCGATAAACCTTTCCTGTTGCGAAATGACTGAGCAACGTGTCCCTAACAACATGGATGAGGGAGTTTGGTGTAGAGGAACTGGACTGGCCAGCACTAAGTCCTGATCTCAACCTGATAGAACAGCTTTGGGATTAATAAGAGCAGACCAGACCAGGCCTTCTCGTCCAATATCAGTGCCTGACCTCACTAATGCGCTTCTAGAAGAATGGTCAAAAATTCCCATAAACACACTCCTAAATCTTGTGGAAAGCCTTCCCAGAAGAGTTGAAGCTGTTAAAGCTGCAAAGGGTGGAGCAACTACATATTAAACCCTACGGATTAAGAATAGGATGTCATGGTAGACGTCCAAAAACTTTTGGCAATATAACGTTTTTTTGTTAAATATATATCTCTCTTTTTTGCTTATATATATATATATATATATATATATATATATATATATATATATATATTACACTTCCATACACGCAGCCTTAGACGAAGATGTCCTGAATGGCAGGATAATTATGCGTTTTACCTTTAGGAAGCGCTTTAAAGCGAGCAGCTCAGCAGGTTGAGGAACAGCATGAACCCGACAGGGTCACACACTCCCTCCTCATCACAGTCCCGCTTCGGCGGCTCCGGGTCGCTCTCCTCAGTGATCACCACACGCCGCTGCTCTCATACTGTCTTTATGGCCTGTGATTATGTTTCAGACATATGAAATATTCCCCACAGTCAGAGGTATATTTAACCTCTCGACAGGCGCAGTTAATTCTCCACATTTAACACAAATGTTGAATATTCTGAAGAGAAATCTACCTCTCCTGTATTTCCTCAGATGATGATCAGTTTCATCAGCATAAGAGGTCCGGATGCGAAACAATCCTCCTCATCTTCTCTATTATTTATCTGGCTGCAAGAATTGCAGTATGACCGGGGGCTATAACGTGTCCAATACAGTATTATGAAACATAACTGAGCTGGACGTGTAACAGAGAAACACAATCAAAACAGGAAGTTCTCTCACTGAATCACGACACGCAACATGATTGCAGTGAACATACGAGACGCTGACAGACAAAACAGAAGTTCATACAGTACCTTTAAATCCATGAACACTAATGTAATGTTCTTCCCAAAACATTAGATTAAAAATAATACTGAATACACCATTCATGGAAGGTTATTTTTCTGAAAAGTTTTAGTCGGACGTTCACATAACAGTCTTTATAAGTTAGCATACCATTCTTAAAACGTATTTTTGTAAACATAATGGATGACTACCATGCAATTCACCAACAGAGTTTAAAAGCATACATTTAAAGATTGTATTTTTTGTTTATTTGTAAAAAAATAAATAAATAAAAGTTTAACATTTTAAGAATTGTAAAATGTCCAGTTCTTCTGTGATTAGGACGTTATTTAAATCTAATGAAAAAAAATGTTAACAAGCATATTTTCACAGAAATTTCACATTTCATTTAATATTCTAAGAACATTAACCCTAAAACCGTATTCTGGACAAATGTGGGCAAAATAGTTTTGATTTATTTTTTAAAAAATAGTTCCCTTGATCTGAGCGGTACAAGACTTGGCTACTTTTCCTAAATTAAAAATTCCTGAACACACAATTTTTTTGACTCAATTCTACAAAAACTCCTTAATCTTGTATTTGGGTCAAAAATGGGCACCCATAGAAATGAATGGGAAAAACTGTAATTTAGAGCATTCTGAAATAAGCTAAAATAAGGCACCAGGTGACCACAAAGTGACTTCACCTTTAGGTTTTAGCTCTAAGAACTTATTGGAATGATATTTTAATGTCGTTAAAAAATAAATAAATAAATAAAACATAAAAAATAAGCATAATTTACATAAAAAATATGGTACTTTTTGAAGTAAATAAATTCAAAAATACACCCAAAATAATAAAAAACAGCATAAATGGATAGACAAAACTTTATCGAAGACAGTGATATAACATTTATATGTCCTCTGTACCCACATTTGTCCAAAATTACAGGATTAAGGGCTATAAAGTGAATACGGTTTGAGGGTTAAAATGTCCAAGTGGATGAACTCATGTTTATACATCACCAATGTAATGAATTTGATCTATATATTGTAGTAGCCAATGTTAGGTAGCATATTTATCTTATTATTCATGAATTTGATCTATAGATTGTAGTAGCCAATGTTAGGTAGCATATTTATCTTATTATTCATATTTACGCATGTATTTTAAGACCTGAATGTGCACACGCATTTACAGACAAATGAAGCAAAAGTCATATCAGCTGATTCTTAACATTAACTCAAGTCATTTGTTCAGATTGGCGTCCTTGCTCACGTACAACCTTGGATAAAATAACACACCCCTAGTTTTATGTAGTCATTAGATTGCAAATAAGCAGGGATATTGCTTTAAGCGCAGTGCAGCTGTTATTCTTTCAGTCGCATGTATTCATGCACATTTCAGTGGGAGGAAAATGAATCACAGAAGCAGCTGTTATATCATAACACATCGGCTTTGCGTTTTCACTCAATTAACTCAGAATCTGCTTCAACGATTGTACGACTAATTCAGAGACAGACAACACAACACGAGTCAGTTATAGCATGTTGACTGCTCATGCATGCATGTGTGTGTTTGTTACGGCACACAACACTAACTGTGGATAATCTATAGACCACAGCGATCTTTGCATGCTCACTTTACATGACAATGTTCCTGCGATGTGGAACAGGAGTCATGCAAGACTCGATGCGTCAATAGAAATGTCTCACATGTGATTTGCGCTGCGAGGAGACGTTTCATTGTTTCATTGGGGATCATTTGGCTCAGTGTGTTTTATGTGAAGGGGTCAGCAGACATTTGAACCTGTGTGCATGATGAAACCGCCTGCAATCGCACGCTTTTAAAGAAGCAATTCATTCGATCATCGTCGCAGTTTCAGATGAAACACGTCGGTCAATGCTTCATTTCCTACAATTGAATTCATAATGTGGAATACAAAGAACATAAACAAAAACAACGACGATACGCTTTGTCGATACCAACAGCTTGGTTTTAGTGTGCAAATAAGTCAAGAAAGTATTAAAAACAATAATAATAAAAGCAATTGTCTGTGTTCAATGCTGTGCATCTCTGACATGCTGCATAATAATCATTGTGACAAAGAGACGTCATGTTTGCAGACAGAAATAGATGGACGACTATGAGGGAAAACATGATCAAGTATGCATAAAATGAACATTATATGCTCATTAAGCTCATTATTCGTTAAGCTGCTTTCACATGATCCCATTCATTTCAACAAACAACCAGATTTCACCAGTAAAACATGATCCTTTGTTGATCCAGAAACAACATTTCAATCAACCAATCAGATTTAAGTTCATGGTTAGGACTAGGACTGCATCTTACCTGAGTCTTACCTTTTAATGTAATGTTACTTTAGTCAAGTGTAACAAGTATTTTGCATGATCTTTCTAATATATCAGTATGAAAAACTGTTATTTCTAAAGACTCAAATACATCATTTATATTTTGCAGCAATATTCCACTGTAGAGGATCCTTAAAATCAAAGCATTCACAATTCATTTTACTCAGGTTGTGGCAAATGTACAAAATATATGTATCAAAATACAAAAATAAATTGATTGTGTGGTAAAAAGTTGGCGTTCTGTACCAGGTTTACAATCAGGGTTAATCAAGTTATTATTTTGTAAAAGACGTTTATTCTTTATAATAATAAGCACTGCTGAATCATTCACAATTATACCAGGAATGTCTCTTTTAAAAAATAAATATAGTCGATTTTAATTTCATGTTGACATTAAAAGTTACTGTAAAGCAAAGATCAAAATTTTAAAGTTCATCTCGTTAAGCATATACAATATTCATAAATATTTCAACATTCATAAAAAGTAAATAAATATGAAGCGGACATCACTAAAAGTGCGTTTACGGGTGTGTTCTCACTGTGTGACCTCACATGAGCCGCGAGTTTGATTGGTCGTCAGTCTGTCCTCTCTTGTGTCCTCATGTGCCGCGTCTCTTTGGCCTGTAATGACAGTGAAGAAAAAAAATGTTACGCCCTTTTACAAAGTCTGGATGTGTTTCAGGCTCTACTAGAACAAGTTTTCCTGTTGAATGTTGATTATTCTCCTCATATTCTCCATTGTTGCGGCTCCTCTCTTCCCAGTCTGTCAGTAACGCTCTGTTTACTTCCTGTCTCTATGAAGCCCCTCCTTCTGGAAAGCACACTGTGCTCTGATTGGTCGGCTGGAGCAGTGTGTTGTGATTGGTCGAGCGCTTCGAGTGTGATTGGGAAATCACAGCCAGTTTAACACACTACTAACTAACTTAACCAGGCTCCGCCCCTTTATTCTGCGCATTAATTATTATAATGAGGAATATTGTGACGTGTTCGACTACAATGGAGGCGTTTCAGGAGTTCAGAAACACTGACACTGATATAGAGGACAACTGGAGTGTTTTCATGCTCAACCAGCAACACACTAAAGACGAGGAACATGGGGAACAGCACGATAGTCTCTCTTTAATGAGGAATTACAGCGCCGGCCTCTAGAGGATATGCTATCGAGAGAGACCCGGGTTATAAAAAGCCCTGGATTTTCACAAATCCTGTTTATTGAATGACATCTCAACATGAGACGTGCACTGGGGAACAAACATTTCTGTATGGAGGATATTGCAAGCTCACAAACAACATTTTGAAGTTGGTCACATGACACGTCCTGTGTTTTAGTTAGATTAGCCTGGTTGGGAAGCGTATTATAGGACTATGTACCAGCCATCAGTGGAAACGCAATGTGACGTTCAGTGTTTCCTCTGGTGATTGAAGTGGATGAAGAGAATAGAAAAATCAACTCGTTTATGCACTGCATTTAAATCAACAGCAAAAGAAACATGCACAACCTCAGTCTGGAGTTGAGAACATTTGCAATGTCAAACATGTTAAAGCAATAGTTCATGCATTGCAAAATATATGAAGAGTTCAGATGCAAAAGCCTCTAAATGCCATTTGAAATTTTCTTCTAAAATGACAATTTTTATCAAGCTTGTATATTTAAGTTCAGTAATTTCACTTAAATGACAATTAATAGGTAATTATCATTGCCATTTAAGTGAAATTACTGAACTTAAATATACAAGCTTGATAAAAATCATTATTTTAGAAGAAAATTTCAAATGGCACTTAGAGGCTTTTGCATCTGAACTCTTCATATATATATATATATATATATATATATATATATCGTGAGATAAGAAGATCAAGGCTGAAGACGAGAGGTGACCGTGCTTTTTCTGTTGTTGGTCCAAAACTATGGAATAGTCTTCCTGTATCTTTAAGATTAATATCCACTGAGTCTGTTTTTAAATCTAAGTTAAAAACCTACCTGTTTTCACTGGCCTACAAGTGTCCTTGATTTAATGTTGAATGGTCAAATTGGTGGTTTCGATGTAACCCCCCCCCCCCCCCCCCCCCCCCTTCTCATTAGTTTTGCGGTCAGTCTTGTTTTTTTTTACGATATTTTATTTCTTCTGTACAGCACAATGTTCAACTACTGTTGTTTTTATTGTGCTTTATAAATAAAAGTTGATTGATATATACATATATATATATATATATACATTTTTTTGTCTTGATTTCCAGTACAAATATTTAAACATTTTTGAATCAAGATACATTTACTTGAGAAGTCATGTCTCAAGTCTTAAAATATTGACAAATAGAGTCAGAAAATATAATCTTGAATTAAGTTTATTTGTATGACCCTATTGGCAGATATTCTTGTTTTAATCATAAACTCGCTTCATTTTGGTAACGTTACATTTTTCAGAAAACAATATTTAATCTCTTCCTAGCAGGATATTTAAGTTTACTTCAATATTTTTCTACTAAATCATGGCAAACTATATATCGTTGGAAAGGTCTAAGGCTCGAGAATACAAATTTGTTGATGATTTTGCAGAAAAAATATATGTTGGAA